TATATATATATAAAATCTCCCTTGTAAATCAGGGAATGTATAGCATATGAAAGTTGATGTCACTCGTTATAATAATCAGTGCTGTATGAGGACTTCCTTGAGAAATGATGAAATGCCCGACTATAGGGTGATACTCTCCAGGCCCATCTTGAGAGTAGATGACAAACCCTACCTATCATTTTTTCCTGCTGTCACCCTTTATCTTAGATGACTCATTACCCAAATAATAATAATACCTGTCCTTCTAAGGAAGAGTAGCCTGTTTTATATGTGGTTTGTGTGCTTTGTATGGGACTTTATGCAAAATGCTTTCACAGGGTTAGCGGTGGCCGGGGGCCAGTGGCCCCACAGAATTGGAGGCATTCAAGTTGGAAATGGGTCACTACTACTTCAAGAACATAATAATTGATAATGTGGCCAAAGGAGAATCATGTGTACCCTCCCAGCCCAGCTTGCATTAGCCTACTGCTTCTTTTAGTTTAAACTTGATGAATATTTTTAATTTCTGCTTCCCTATTCTAGGGTATAAGCATGTAACTTCCAATCATTCCTTCCAAATGCATTTCATAAAAAATAGGAGCATAAATATCATTCAGCCAGCCTCTGCATTATGGAGATCTTTCAGAAAAAGGAGACCCACCTTCCCTGTTGCTCTCTATTTTTCATTTAACAAAGAATAAAGCAGCTCTTTCAGAAATTTTTGCATAGGATAATTGGAATTTAAATTTAATAACACCCTTGCCTAACTGGTTTTAAAAATGTAATTGTTTTTAGCATATAAATCTCTCACTTGAAGCATTGTACTATGGCAATTTCATCATACATCTCTCTGCAAGTGTTTATTGAGTGCCTGTTCATTCTTGGCATGTTGGCTTTGTGAGGCAGGTAGAAATTGAACAGTCAACCTTAGTTTGACTAATAACTAAGCAAGGGAACTCAGGGAGATCCAGTAACTGAGTAAATGGAAGCTAGGTAAATGTTATTGACGGCTTAAGCATCTCTCCAGCCAATCAGCCTCTCTCCAGTTCTATACTGTGGACAGCTCTGCCCTTACGTATAATTGTTAAACCCTACATCTCTTGGCATCAAAAAAAAAAAAATACCTTGATGGCACCAACTTCTCTCTTCTTTCATAATCATTAGCCATAATTGCTAAATGACCTGTCTTCAAATTACCTGATACCATACAAGATTGTTCTCTGTCAAATGATACTATAGTATATTGCATGTAACTATAGTCATGTGATTTCAACTCATCTCTTCCTGGAAAACCTCTTACCAAAGATTTAAACCACATGGTGTGTAAACCTATGGATACTTAATCTTTAATATGGAGACTAACAAAGCTGTTTATTTGTTCTCACCTGTTATTTTTCTCTTTCAGTGTGAATGATATCACGGCTGTTGGACCGGCACATTTCTATGCCACCAATGACCACTACTTCTCTGATCCTTTCTTAAAGTATTTGGAAACATACTTGAACTTACACTGGTCAAATGTTGTTTACTACAGTCCAAATGAAGTTAAAGTGGTAGCAGAGGGATTTGATTCAGCAAATGGAATCCACATTTCGCCTGATAATAAGTATGACCCCTTACAGAACATCATATAATCTTTCCTCGGTCATGGTGCTTGCCAAATTCTTTACTTTACTTTTTTTTTCTTTTCAATGTGAAAATAGCTTTCTTGACATTTTCTGTATTTTAGATTATATTTTTTATATATACACTATAATTATATATATTTTGAAGATTTATTTATATGCTCTGTGTCTACTATATGTATTTACATATAATATATAACTTGTGGTATATAATTATCAAATTTAATTTTATAAATGTAAATTTTAAAGTGTGATCCTATTTATGCATACATATTCAAGTATCAGGTAGGTGTTTCCTTTTAAATAAATATATCATTGTTTTTATTGGTTACATATTATTCCATTACAAGGAATAATTCCTGAACTAATTTAACCAATCCTCTATTGATGGTTATATTTTTTTCTGTATAAAAACCATTTTAGGAACACACCTTTGTTTTATACCAAAGACTTCTTCTTCCCCCTGCCAAAGAAAAAAAAAAACCCAAAAAATTTACACTTCTCATTTACCACTGAAACTTATCCAAGTATTTTTTAAAGAAAAACTCCCTAAGAGAGCATCACAGCATACTAGTTAAACTTGCAGATTTTGGGCTCATATGGATCTGGGTTCAAATCCCAGGTAGGGCACTGCCTAGATGGTATTATGAGCCCCTTTGCACATCTATACAAGTGTTTCTGTAGAACAAACCTCTAGAATTAGAACTGCTTGCTCAAACAGTGTGAATCCTTTACATTTTAACTTTAATAGATATTGGCAAATTGTCCTCCAAAATTATCTGTTTTTATATGCACAACCACCGCCTCTAAGAAAGGATATTAAATTCTTTATTAGCTTTCTCTTCTGCCTTAGCACACCAAACAATTGAAACTACTACAAATATAACATAAAATAAATTTGGCATCCCTTGACAACTAACTGTCCTTATTTTCATGATGCAGTTTCTCCTCCTTTCTTGTTGATTACAGAAAATGAATGTAGAATCATTTAATTTAAATTGTCTCTGACTGACCTGATCCAACCTCTCCCGTCAAATCTGTTTTTCTCCTCAACTCTCATATTTCTATTATGAGAGTCAAACTTTCCATCCACTCAAGCTAAAAAAATAATAACGATGAAAAGTGGGATTCAGCTTTAACTTGTTCTCTTTGACCACTCCCATCCAACCTGGGAGCAAGTCATGTTGCTACTGCCTGCCCCTGCTTTCCCCACTGACCCCCCTTTCCCACTGAGACCTACCTGGCTTAGGTTCTCATCCTCTCTGGCTAGAGTAGGAGACTTTCTTCCAGTTTGTTTTCTATCCATTTCCATTTTTTACACTCTTGCCAACTTTGTCTTTCTGTATTCCATTAGCTTTTAAGGGCTCCCCAGTAGGGAGCTGTCTTCCTCTTCTTCAAATTCTCATGCTAAGCACAGTGTCAGACGCAAAGCAAGTGCTCAGTCATTGTTGAACAGAACTGACCATTTGTTATGATGCCACTTTGTTGTTCTAAAAACTCAGTGGAATCCGATTGCTTGTCAAATCAAGTCAGGCTAAGGGGTTGGACTTTATTTGATAAACCAGCTCCAACTTTCCTTTTCTACTGTTTCCATCCTTTCTATGCTTTAGACAAAGAACTCTTGATTTTGCAAACATTCCTCCCTCATTCTTGCTCCTGTGCCTTGCTTGTGTGTTTTCTTCTGTCTCCAAAGGTGCTTCATCCTCACATCCTTGAATCTAATCTCTACTTCCATAGCCCCTGCAGATGCTGCTTCCATGGTGAGCCTTTTTGTGTATCCAAAAGTCAAATATTTCTCCAGTCTGTAGACCGCAACTGTTTCTCATAGTACTCATCATGCTGTATTAGGTGTTGAATGTGTACAAGCCAGTCTGATTATCCCAACACATTATAAACTTTCGAGGAGAGAAGCTGTGTCTTCTTCATGTTTATTTCTGCCCAACACTGAGTTCCTGGCTTTTTACACATGATAATTGCTCAATAGAACAGTTGCCATGGAACAGTCAATCCAATGAGTAAAATTACCTTAAAGTAGTTCATTAATCCACCCTCCTTAGATATAGATTATTCTGAATAGATACTTATCTCTTACTTTTAAAATTCTCCATGTACTAATAAATATTTTGTTTAATAAGTATTAGTAAATATTTTAATAAAATATGTTCTATACCATATATTTCTATAGGTAAACAAAACTTAGAAATATGAAATTACATTGTGCAATGTAAAAGCTTTTCTTATGTAGCCAAACATTTGTTTTATTGTCATTTCAATGGCAAATATCATGGACTTTATATTCAAAATGATGTCCTATATTACTTTTTTGTTACAAGCCTTTTGAAAAATAATTTAATAATTCCATGATTGTTATAGCGCCACTGAATTGATTTTGAAAGCTTACTTTTTAAATAAAAATTGACCTTTATCAAGCATTCCTTGAGGGCCTGCCATTGATTAACTTCTTGGCAGGTTATTAAGACTTATTCTTTCATACTGTATTCATGAAGCTTTATATTGGCATGAAGCTCTAACCAGTGTGTCCTTTCTGCAAAGGTATATCTATGTTGCTGACACATTGGCTCATGAAATTCATGTTCTGGAAAAACACCCCAATATGAATTTAACTCAACTGAAGGTAAAATATTTCTTTTTAAAATATACAGAGACATTAATCTTTTATACTTTGCAATTACATAGTTATATTGTATTATAACCATATCACACTCAGAACAATATGGATTCTAGTGTAGTTATTCTGGGTTTTTAAATATTACCTCTCTACAACTGGAGAAAGCTCCTGTTCCTAGTGATCACAAGGACCCTCCATGATTACATGCTGCAGCAGGTTGAGAGTAATATCTGCATCAGATTTAGGGCCCATTCCATGAAGTATTGATAGCAACCAATGAATTCCAATAAGAATTTCCACTATTGAAAAGACTAATAGATGAATTCTCAAATGAAGATTTATGCACGTTGTCAGTTCTTTCAATAATAAATGAAGGTAGAAATTGGGTTCCACACCATTATTATTTTTTTCCTGCTTGACAACACATATTTTAGGTTGATTAAGAATTTCCTATCTTGCTTTGATTGAGTTCCTTGAACTAACTGATCCTTGTGCATCTTTTAAGGGAGAGGAAGTTCATTTTTTAGAGAGATTTTTAGAGAGATTGATTATCACCCTAACTTTCTTAATTTCAGGGAAGATGAAAAGTGGCTTCAAACCAGTTTATTAAATTTATTTTAAGCAATGTTAGTTTGGGAGGGTGGAAGCAGGGAGATGTGTATAATTTTCCCACACGCATAGAGGCAGGAAAGGTTAGCTCTAAATTATTTAATCAAGCTTCTCGTGTCATTTAGATATCGACATTTTCTCATTTGGAAGGTACTCAAGTTGGATACACTGGTGGATAATTTATCTATTGATCCTTCCTCGGGCGACGTCTGGGTAGGCTGTCATCCCAACGGTCAGAAGCTCTTCGTGTATGACCCGAACAATCCTCCCTTGTCAGAGGTTTTTATATTTTCAGTTTTTCAACCTTAATTATTCAAGTCCTTTTGAACTAATAATACGATAAACTGTCACAGGGATGATTTGTTTAGTTCTTTTAAACCAATAATACAATAAACTTACGTAGTGGTTTTGTAATTGCTTTAAGCCAATAATTGGCAGAATGTTACGTTGTTCAAATACTTCAGGAAAGGTAATCTTTTGATGTGTTCAGTTATGGTGGAAACTAGTTAAAAAGCATTTTTTATAAAGACGTGCCCTTCTTGGGTGGTATACTGGCAATTTTTAAAATATCTGGTTTATTGTCAGCTCACCCCATGACATGATTTTTGTTCATGTTGAAGTAGTGGGAAAGTGGGCACATTAATGTAAAAGTATTTCTATTAATGCTGAATTGCTATAATAACTCTAAATCCTGTGTTGGCATGGAGTAACTAGATGGTTTAAGAAAGTACTTTCTTTGAAGGTTTGAGAAAGTACTTTAATTTAAACATTAAAAAGATTAGTAACTGCTGTTTTCAACAGCATGCCCTCCTAATCAGCATGTCATTGTGGAAGACAGGGCTTACTGGTGACTGAGTGACAGGGGTGTATGGTGGTTTTATATTAACTTTGTATCTTCTGAATAGGTTCTTCGCATCCAGAACATTCTATCTGAGAAGCCTACAGTGACTACAGTTTATGCCAACAACGGATCTGTTCTCCAAGGAAGTTCTGTGGCCTCAGTATATGACGGGAAGCTGCTTATAGGCACTTTATACCACAGAGCCTTGTACTGTGAACTCTAAATTGTATTGTGCGTCTGAGAGTGTGATAACTTCTCTTAATTGATTTTCTATGAATTGCTAATTCTGAGGGAATTTAACCTGCAACGTTGACCCAGAAATATGTGGCATGTATAGTTAATTTTATTTCAGTTAGGAAAGGCCCCTTCAGTTCTCATAGCACTTTTAGCATAAAAGGAAAATGAACAGTTTTTTAAAATGCCAAGCAAGGGAGAGAGAAGATGGCTACTTTGCAGTAAAGTGAATACACTTTGCACAAAATAAGCCTCACCTTTGCCTTTCAACTGCCGGAACATAGATTCCACTGAAACAGGGTGGATTATATTTCTTTAAAATATGAGTGACCTCAATTCCAGCCTTGTGACAACATGACTGTTAAGAACTACTGATAGAGGCTGGGCGTGGTGGCTCACTCCTGTAATCTTAGCACTCTGGGAGGCCGAGGCGGGCGGATTGTTTGAGCTCAGGAGTTCGAGACCAGCCTGAGCAAGAGCGAGACCCCCGTCTCTACCAAAAATAGAAAGAAATTAATCGGAGAGCTAAAAATATATAGAAAAAATTAGCCGGGCATGGTGGAGCATGCCTGTAGTCCCAGCTACTCGGGAGGCTGAGGCAGGAGGATCGCTTGAGCACAGGAGTCTGAGGTTGCTGTGAGCTAGGCTGACGCCACGGCACTCACTCTAGCCAGGGCAACAAAGTGAGACTCTGTCTCAAAAAAAAAAAAAAAAGAACTACTGATAGATAACATGCTTTGACGTTTTATACTTACATCTTTGTTTACTATTAAAAAGTTCAAATTATATTGAAGACTAACCAAAATCCAAGTTTTGTCTGTGTTTAATTCTCAAGCCACATCCTCAGGGGGAATGGGAAGACAGCTGCTTCCTTGTGGGGTTTCTTTGGGATAGGCAGGCAAAGCCATATTAATTTTTCTCACTGAAAACTGAATGTGAATGGTCTCTTTATTTGAAAAAATTAAAATGAAAAAAATCAACAAAATACTGCAACTCAGATTCTCTAGGGAGTGTTCCATCAGTCTCTTCCTTAATGGGAGCTCACCTTGGACACAAAGAGGAGATAAAAGGTTGGAGCTGGAAGGTCATGCTACCTCCTCATTGAACAGAACTGTGAACTGAAGCCAGGAGAGATGAAGTCAGTTGTCCAAGACCACCTGGTTAAACAGCAGCAATGCGAGGATCAGCACCAAGGGTGCCTAATTCACAGAGGGAGGGTTTTTTCTGCTCACTGTATCTCCATAAAATTATCTTAAGCTCCAGAAAGAGATTTTCGTGTGTTTCCCCCCACCCCATGATAATTTATCAAAACACTTTACTTCTTATGCTGTTTTGCCATCTTCATCACCATCATCAAAATATCTGTCAGTTAATTATAATGTGCCCAACGCTGCAATAAAAATGTTACATTCATTATTGCATTTAATCCTAATTGCAGCCTTGAGGGAGTAGGTATTGATATTAAATCACTATTAACATTTCACAGGTATTCAAGGTGATACACCAAGTAAGGGCTGGATGTCAATCCATTTTTGATGCCAGTGCCTGTATCCTTAACCACTACATGATGCTTCTGCCATAGAACAAATGAGTATTTTGTTATTTACTCTTTTTCCTAATATTTATAGTTCCTTCCAATTTTTTTTTAAGATAGCAATTTGAGTTCTGCTTTCAGATGAATCATTTAATGGCTTTTTTTTTTTTTTTTGAGACAGCGTCTCACTCTGTCACCCTGGCTACAGTGCAGTGGCATCATCATAGTTCACTGCAACCTTAAACTCCTCGGCTCAAATAGTCGTCCTGCCTGAGCCTCCCGAGTGGCTGGGACTAAAGGTGTATGCCATCATACCTGGTTAATTTTCCTATTTTTGGGAGAGACTCAGGCTGGTCTCCAACTCCTGACCTCAAGCGATCCTCCAGCCTCGGCCTCCCAAAGTGCTAGGATTATATGCCTGAGCCACCATGCCTGGCTCATTTAATGGCTTTTAAGTGTAAATTGCAGAAGTATTCTTTTTTTTTTTTTTTTTTT